AATATCTTGAGGGAATGAGAGAGACATTAGCCTACCCTTTATATTCTGTGGGAAAGAGATAGAAGAAACAAGTAAACAGTTAAATAAAATGATGCTAGTAACTTCTAAGAAGGAACTAAACTCTGTTTTACAAGAGAAACTAAGAGGGAGGACCTGTTTAAATAAGAGCAATCTACATGGCCTCTTGTTGGAGATGACTTTCAATGTGAAACCTGAAGAATAATAAGGAGCTGGTTATGTGAAGAGTAACAGAAGAGCATTCCAGGACTAAGGAACAGCAAGTACAGAGGCTCTGGGGTGGAAAACACTTTGGTGCCTTCCAGGAGCTGCCTCATGGTAGGACAGTGGCCTGAGAGGACATTGGAGAGATCATTCAGAGTGTGGTATGTGCTTTGACACTTTGACAGGGTTATTTTAAGGATAAAAGGAGATAATATATGAAAGTACTTGGCACCATGTCAGCACATAGTAAATATTATAGAAATAAATGATAGTCAACTTGTAGGATATCCGAAGTTAGAAATCTGAGGTGATGGTCCTAACTATAGCACTTACTTGCTTTGTGACCTTGACAAAGTCAACCAGCTTCCCTGGGGCTCAATTTTCTGCCTGTAAAAATAAAATTAATAGCACTTGGTAGAGTGAGGAGTAGTTGTGATTGTGCTTTGGAAAAGTATAAGCATCAGGCAAATATGAAGGAGACATTTCTTGGAAGTTTAGCAGCAGGACAGCACTGTACAGGGTCCTGAGTACTTTCTCAAAGTTGTCTGTACATTTCATTTCAGGAGGAGGTAGTGACACAGATTATCCCCAGCTGAAATATAAACCTGATAGTTTTCTGTGATCCCTTAGATGGAAGAAAACAGGCAAGTATTTGGGTTTAAAAAGCTTTTCCTTAGTAAATACAGTCTTTCTCCAGGAGCAAAATCAACATGATAAATTGCATCAGCATCAAACCCAAGTTTAACAAACATAGAAAACGAGAGGTTTCTGGGACTACTGGCCCACAGGACTAATACTTCAAGTGGCTGCTGTGGGGATTGACCCCACACTACCTCCTCTGCTTTTCTATGGCCTATAAGCTGAACCAGAAAAAAATCTAGGAATAGAAATAGTAATTTCCTTCTAAAATATGGCATCCCAAACTGTCTCTAGTCTGTTTAATGTGGTGATTTAACCATCTAAGGTTTTTCTTGGTCCCTCCTTCCTTCATTCATTAGTCATTGTTTATCAGGCCTCATGAGTAGGCAGAGTCCTCTGGTCCAGGCTATGGGAAGCATGACGACATAGAATACCTAGTTACCACTTTCATGAAGACCTTGGTCAGAGTGGCAGGATGTCAAATGAGAGAAAAAGATATTTACTAGTTAATAAATAAGAACCAAGGCAAGCACAACTTTCTAAGAGGTCAGCTAACAATCAACAGAAAGTTGTACATTCTACTTTGATCACTTTGTTATAAGCTTCTCTCGTGTTATTAAAAATTCTCCATGAATACCATTTCGATGACTGCTACATCTAGCCACATGGTTTGCCCAACCCTTTCCCACAGAAGCTTCCCTGGATAGTAAGGCTGGCATTTAGGCCAATATGTGGAGTTTGTGAAATACTCACCTGCTACTTGGAAACACTGGATAAAGCACATCAAATGTGACATGAATCTTGGGAAGTTTGGGGACTGCCAAGTGTGGTCTGCAATCTCAACCCCCAATTTATCTCTTTATGTTAATGGTTGACAGCAAATCTCTGAAGCCAGGCTGCCTGGCTTTGAATCCTGCCTCTACCTGTACTAGCTGGGTAACTACGGACAGGCAGCTGAGATCTCTATGCCCTTGTTTGCTTACTAGAGCTGTGGGATTTTAAAATATTTTATGGAATTGTTATAGGGGAAAACATAAATCCTTTGCTCAGTGCCAAAAACACAGTAAGTACTCAGTAAATGTTACTATCACCAAGCATTATGAGAACACCTATGTAGAAGAAACAGAGGTTACTGAGACTGAGAAAGAAAGAGTTACAACCAAAATTTATATCAACACTTCCTGAGCCTGAAGTCCACTACTGCCCCTCATGCTGATGGTGAAAAGCCAGTGCTGAGCCAAGTAAGAGATAGCCAGGGTCCAAAGGTCCCTGGGGTTGGAACCTAAGGGGTGGAAAATAACCACAGAATGGGGGGAAGTTTGGGAGGAATGGGTGTAAAAGATTACATATGTGGGCCCTTGGGTCTGGACAGGAGCCCACAATTTAGGGGAGAAAGTAAACAACTTGTGTGTGTGAAGAATCACCTGTCACCAGGTGAGGAGAATGTTGGGAGTGAGAGTGTAGATGGGTGGAGGAACAGGTCAGGAGAAAATGGGGCCCCTTGGGAGGCTGGCTGCCAAGGAATTTTCCAAATATATTTTGCATTAGCACCCAAATTGTGGGCTTTGGGTTTGATATTGTGGGAGAGAATTTAAAAAGAGTAAGGGAATCAAATTAACTTGCCCCATGATTTTCTCTTGTATCCATGATCTCCCAGAAGGCTTAGGTGACCATCCCCCTCTTGGGCAGTCGCCACCTGATGAACTTCTATTCATTCCTGAAGACCCCTTTCTCTTCCTTTAGTTCTCTCCTTTTTTGGGTAGACCCAGACCACCATCCATTCCTCCAGTAAAGGCCTTACCATATTTTATTGTACTGTTTTCTGACCTTATGTACTAGCTGTGTACTCTAAGAAATATCTGTCAAGTGACTCACTGAATGAATGAGCATTCCCATGACATTCTTGGGAAAAAGATTATTTTTCCATCTACAAAAGGAGAAACTGAGGCTAAGTGAGTATCAGTTGCTGACTTCATATGCAGTGGGCAAGACCTGGGGCTGAACCTCCTGAGGACAAGACTGACCAGTACATTTACCTCGTGTCATAATTGAAAGGTGGACTAGGACAAGTATGGGGAAAACTTCTGATGTAGGTAGGCAGGCAGTTTTGGAGACAACACAGAGGGATCCTAAGCCCCAACCCAACTCTCAATAACTACTTTCCCTATCTGTAACTACTTTGTATCTCTGGAATAAAAATAATAAGGAAATAACAACACCTATAGAACATTTGGTGAACTGACTGTCATTTCTGGAACTCAGCTTTCATGTGTGTTTTGCTTGCAGCTGTGTCATGATACCCAGCATACTGGCTGGCACATAATAGGTGCTCATTGCACATTTTTTAGGAAACGAATGAATAGAAAGTTGAAATGTGCAAAACCACGGTCATTGTCAGCTGAAAAAGCTTTTCTTCCTATTCCACAAGGTGGAGCCAGCACAGTTAATCAACTCTAGTGGCTCTAAGCTCTGCCCTCCCCCTCCACCCTCCACCTCCCCACTGGTGGGAGGGACAATACTTGCAGACTGGCCTCATGTAGTCAGAGACAGTCAGCCATCCAGAAGTCAATGCACCATGAGTGTGTCTGTGCTGAGCCCCACCATAGCCCTGGGCAGCACCTCTGGGTTCCTGCAGGTGACCTTCCTGCTGGGTCTGGTTCTGCTGCTGCTCAAGACAGCCCAGCTCTACCTGCACAGACAGTGGCTACTCAAAGCCCTCCAGCAGTTCCCCTGCCTTCCCTCCCACTGGCTGTTCGGGCACCAGCAGGAGGTAAATGCAAGCGGGACAGGGGAGTGGGAAGGCAAGGAGGGCAGGGGATTGCCAACAGGATCATGGTCATGGTCAACAGGTCTGTGGGACAAAGCCTTGTTGTATGAGGAGCACATGGCCATGGGGCAAAATCCGGTTTACCCCTCAGGTGATGGCTCCTCATCCCATGTGCTGCTGTGCTCAGTCTGTCAGATCCCCTTTCCTTAGGTCTGTAGGCTATTTTGGCAGCCCAGCACTTTGAGGACAATGGCTGTTCCTTAGTCTCTCTGCTACAGGATCACAGAACAGAACTTCTAGGTGCTTCCCTGCCTGTGTCCATTCATTTCCATCCCCTCTGCCAGGCCCTAAGTTTCCTGGGACATACACATGGGTCTTATGGATCCCTGCCTGTGGGGGTTCACAGTCTGTGGAGACAATAGACAGGGATTTAAAAGTGTCAGGTCACAGGAAGAGAGGCTCACCCACAGGGTGGCTGCGGGTAAGATCAGGAGTAAGGGACCCATCAGCTTGGTTGGTATGTGACTCTGAGACTTTTCATACTGGTGATGGCAGTGCTAAAACCCTGACAAGTTAATGGCACATATGAGCAGGAAGGCTTCCAGAATGGCCCAAGGTAAGGAGTACTGGCATTTGAGTTGCGCCAGTAAAAAGAATCTCTTTTCCTCTCAGCTCTCATTCCCCAAACGCTTGCCCTGTGAGCTCCTTTTGACTGAGGATATTGTAACTCTTTCTGTACCTTCAGACCCAGCACAGTGCCTGACACCAAGGGATGCCTGACTCAGGAACTAAAGAAAAGGAGCAGCTTTCAGGTTGGGTGACAGACAGTGCTACCCAGCCAGCTTTGTTTGCACTAGTCCCTGGGCGAAGGGTGCAGAGCAAGGTGAGGGGCCGGCATGGAGGGAGACTAACCTAGGGCTCACTCTAATTACCTCATTTTAACTTAATTACTACTATAAAGGTCATATCTTGAAGGAAAGTCACATTCTGAGGTACTAGAGATTAAACCTTTCAAGATATGAATTTGAAAGGGACAAAATTCAACAAATAATTCAAACATAAGTCTGGGAAAAAGGCATGTGCACCATTCAGTCCATAACCGAACATATATCAACCACATACTACGTGTAAGTATCTAAGGGCAGTTCTCAGTGAGGGCTTAACCAGAAGCCAGAATCTGACCTTAGATCAAGTCTTGATGAAGAGCAAGAATCCAGGTCACAACCTGGTTCATTAGAGCCAGTTCCAAGCTCCTAATCACAGCTAATACATCCAGAATTTTATCCCTCTAGCTGTTTTACCCTTCACCAGCCCTCCAAGCACTGGACCTAAAGAGAAAGGTTTTGTTGATTTGTCTTTCCCTTGCTTATAGTTCCAGAATGACCAGGAGTTACCACAGATTCTAAAAAGGGTAGAGAAATTTCCACATGCCTGTCCTCGCTGGTTGTGGGGGAGCAAGGTCACACTCCTGGTTTATGACCCTGACTACATGAAGGTGATCCTAGGAAGATCAGGTGAGAGTGAAACCTGAATTGTGTCTGGAGCAGCTCTTCCCTCTGTCTTGTGAAATTCCTCTGGAGATTTCAGTTCCTCCAGAATTCTCTGAACCCTCTACCAACCACTCTGCCAGACCACAAGCCAGCTTAAAGTCAACAACATCTGCTCTAACTGAATGCTTAAACAGCCTGCTGGGCCAATATCTCTTCTATGTTCTTTATTTTTTGTTGTTTCCTCCCTCCCTCCCTCCCTCCCTTCCTTCCTTCCTTCCTTCCTTCCTTCCTTCCTTCCTTCCTTCCTTCCTTCCTTCCTTCCTTCCTTCTGTTTCTTCCTTTCTCCTTTAATCAGATTTGCGATTATCTGTTATATAAATTCCCCAGATCTGAAAGACAATTTCTATCAACCCTGACTTTGGTTTCACACTTCTAATTGTTGCCTGTCCTAAAGACGTGAAGCTTCCAGAGACTGCAGGAAGATGATAGACCTCTATGTTTTCTGTGGCACTGAATATGGTGCCTATGTTTCTGGCTGATTGACCATCCTAATCCTGTGGGCATTCTGCTTCTGGGACACTAAGTCTGCCTTCCTGAGCTCACAGCAACTATTGGAACAGAGAGACTTGGAGATGGGAGGCAGGTGGGAGACAAACTGCCAGCTGAGGATGACAGCCCATGGTCTGAACCACAGCTGCCTCCTGGGGGTTCCCTGCCTTGTTTGAAATCCTCCAGTTTCCTCTAATGCCTTTTTATTACTTTTCAGATCCGAAGGATCAGGCTGCGTACAGATTCCTGGCTCCATGGATTGGTAAGTATGTCTAGCCAGTCCTGTGGGGTCCACCTGCCTTACCAAGAGCTATCTCCGACTCACAGAGAACAGGTAACCAGCACCATATCACTACCCTCATCTCTGAATCAAGCCTTATTTCTCTTCTAATAAAACCTCACTGCTTCCAGGTCATGGTGAGAGCCCCTCTGAAACCCAGCTTCTTCCCATCACCTCTCAGTGCTCCCCAATGTTTTCAGAGTGACACTTACTTACAAACTTCTATTACCAGCCCCCAACTCCATCTCACCCTTTAACTCACAGTTGTCATAGTAATATGCCATGTACCTTCCACTTTGGGAAATTCACATTCCTGAAATACACTGGCCTTTCCTTCCTCTGCCCATGATGTACCTTTTTCTGACATCCCTGGTTCCTTCCAAATTGTCCCCAGTCATCCTTCTGATTCCATCTCCCCACCCCCACACACCTATCTGTGGCCAGGGTATGGTTTGCTCCTGTTGAATGGACAGGCCTGGTTCCAGCACCGGCGAATGCTGACCCCAGCCTTCCACTATGACATCCTGAAGCCCTACCTGGGGATCATGGCTGACTCTGTCCGAGTGATGCTGGTAAGTCCATCCCTCTCTCATCTGCACACACCCACTCATGGCACAACTCACATGGTCCACTCTAGGATATATGGAACCTTGGGACATCCATCAGACAGAGCTAACCAAAACAACTCAGCCAGTCAGAACTTACCATGTGACAGAGCTTCACAAAGTGGACGGAACTGGAGGTACCTAGGCACCAGCTTGAATTCACATGAATTTGGCCATTGCTAAGGGAAAGGAGGGCTGTGGAAGGAACAGGTCAACTCGCCTGTCACCTCCACATCTTCAGCACAGTGGACTAGAGAAACAGTCCTTTCTCTTCACAAACCACCACTAGCACACCTGAGCAGTGACAGCTTCAGTGACATGATGGACATCCCAGGATGACATTCAGGTGGACTCTGGCTTGGAGCACAGGCTTCAACATGAAACTGAGTCATTGTGTGGAAGGGAATGGAGATTACATCCTCACTCACAGAGCTAGGTCCTGCCATCGCATCACCTGTTACCTGGTCTCCGATCTCCACAACTATGCTCATTTGATGAATAAAAGAGTTAAAGTCTCTGGTGTCCCTTCCTTAGCGGCCCTAGTACTGGTCACTTAGATTTTCTCTTGCCTTAACATATTTGCTACCTAGAGTTAAAGGCACGAGGTGTCCCTCGGTTCTAACTTAACCCCACACAAAATTCCCTCCTTGTCCCCTAAAAAAGCAATGTTTTCTGGTCTGCTTAAATGTGATTACCATAACTGATTTCTAAATTTCAAAAGTATTTCAAGCCATTATGAGAAAATGTCTTCAATTTTATAATCAAAGGTTGTGAGAATATAGCTTGAACTTTATCATCATTTGCTTTACAGTCTAAATGTGCTATAATACCTCTGCTCTGGAAAGTGAGAGATGCCAAACAGGTGTCTGGAGAGACAGAGACAAAATGGCTTTGTCAGCTACTGCCCTCTGGAGCAGTAGACTTGGGTCAATGTTCCCCTCCCACTACAGGACAAATGGGAGGAGCTCATCAGCCAGGACTCCCATCTGGAGATCTTTGAACATGTCTCCTTGATGACCCTGGACACCATCATGAAGTGCGCCTTCAGCCAGCAAGGCAGCGTCCAGACAGACAGGTCTGTGATGATCCTGCAGCTGCAGGCTTTTTGTTTCTATCAACTGATATGGACTCAGTAGAGAGGCAGTTCAGGCAGGAGTGAGGCTCACCAACTCAAAAAGCAATAACCTGTCCAGAGCTGCTGACCATGGACAAATTGCAGTCAGATCAAAGCTTGACTCACCCACAGACCCCTAATTCCTGGCACAGGCTCATTCCTGTTGGTTCATATCACTTCTTTGTTTGTTTGTTTCAATTATATTATTATTGTTGTTCAGTTACAGTTGTCTGCATTTTCCCCCCACCACTCTCCACCATCCAAGCCAAACTCACCTCTCTCCCTTGCTCCCATCCTCCTTTTAGTTTTGTCCAGGTGTCCTTTAGAGTAGCTCCTGAAACCCCTTCCCCCCATAAGCCCCTCCCACTCCATACTGGTTACTGTCAGATCGTTCTTAATTTCTATGTCTCTGGGTTTGTTTTTTTTTGGTTTTTTCTTTTGTTCATTATGTTCCAGTTAAAGGTAAGATCTTATGGTATTTATCCCTCACCACCTGGCTTATTTTACTTAGCATAATACACCCTAGTTCCATCTATGTTGCAATGGGTAGGAGCTCATTCTTTCTTTCTGCATAGAATTCCATTGTGTAAATGTACCATAGTTTTATGATCCACACATTTACTGATGGGTACTTAGTTTGTTTCCAGCACTTGGCTATTGTAAATTGTGCTGCTATAAATATTGGGGTTTTTTGGTTTTGTTTCTTGAGGTCAATTTCTAGTTTCAGACCCTTGTGGTTGTAGAAAATCCTTGATATGATTTCAATTTTTTTGAACTTGTTGAGGTTTGTTTTGTATCCTATCATGTGGTCTATCTTTGAAAATATTCCATGTGCATTTGAAAAGAATGTGTATTTTCCTTCTTTGTGAGCAAAAGCTCTCTCTATATATATATATCAGTTAAGTCCATTTGATCCAGGGCAGTGTTCAATGCCACAATATGTTTTTTGATATTATGTTTGGAAAATCTCTCTGTTTTTGACAGTTGGTTGTTAAAATCCTCTACTATAATTGTGTTGCTGTCAACATCTTTCTTGAAATCCTCCAAGATTTTCTTTATGTATTTGGGTGCTCCTATGTTGGGGTGCATATATATTTACAATGTTTCTGTCTTCTTGATGGATTCTTCCCTTGAGTATTATGAAGTGACCTTATGCATCTTTTTTTATGGCTCTGTTTTCGAAGTCTATTTTGTCTGATATGAGTATTGCTACCCTGGAGATTTTCCCTGTCCATTTGCTTGGAATATTTGTTTTCAGCCCTTCACTTCAGTCTGTGTAGGTCTTTTGTCCTGAGGTGGGTCTCCTCATATGTGTGGGTCATGCTTTCTTACTCATTCAGCTATAGTATGTCTTTTAATTGGGGCATTTAATCTATTTTGCTTAAGGCTGTAATTTTTTTAAAAAGATTTTATTTATTTATCTTTAGAGGGGAAGGGAAGGAGAGAGGGAGAGAAATATCGATGTATGGTTGCCTCTCATGCTTCCCATGCTGGGAACTGGCCTGCAACCCAGGCATGTGCCCTGACTGGGAATTGAACCACAATACTCTAGTTCACAGGCCCACACCCAATCCACTGAGCTACACCATCCAGGTGCTTAAGGTTGTTATTGATAGGTACTTACTCATTGCCATTTTTTCGTACCTGTGTTCCTCTCTCTGTCACTGTCTTTCTCCCTGTTCTCCAATCAGACTTTGTAGCATCTCTTGCAGAGCTGGTTTGGAGGAGGTATATTCTTTGAGGCTTCTTTTGTTTGGGGAGCTCCTTATTTGGCCTTCCATTTTAATTGAGAGCCTTTCTGGGAAGAGTAGTCTTGGTTGCAGGCCTTTGGTTTTCGTTAGTTGGAATATTTTTTGCCATCCTTTCTGGTTTGGAGGTTTCCATTGACAAGTCAGTTGCTAGTCTGTCGGGTCTCCCTTGTATGTTCCTTCCTGTTTCTTCTATGCTGCCTTTAAGATTCTCTCTTTGTCTTGAGATTTTTCCATTTTAATTATGATGTGTCTTGAAGTGGGCCTCTTTGGGTTCATCTTGACTGGGACTCTGTGTTTTCTGGATTTGTGTGACTTTTTCTCTAATCAAATTAGGGAAGTTTTTCATCATTGCTTTTTTTTTAAGGTTTAATATCTCAAATTTATTAAAAACATCGAAAATCAATACAAAATATGCAGCAATGCAAATTTAAAAATAGAAAAAGAAGCTTAATAGACCCTTCTACAAACAGAACATAAAAGATTAATAGACTATGAAAAGATTCTCAATGTTTCTAATCATTACAGACATGTAAATTAAAAGCTGTTATAGTTAAAGTCAAATGCCAGCTGTTTTTTTCTATTTTTTAAAATTTTATTTAGTTATTTTTCAAGTACAGTTTTTTGTCTATTTCTCCCATCCCAGCCCCCCTGCCCCATCTCCCCATCTCCATCCCATTTCCCCATCCCCAGTCCTCATCCCTGTGTCTTTCATACTTGTTCCTCAAAATCCCTCCCCATTTTTCCCCTTAAATTCCCTTCCCTCTCCCCTCTGGTCACTGCCCACTTGTTCTCTATTTCAGTGTCTTTTTTTAAATTCTGTTTGCTTGTTTGTTTTGTTGTTTAGCTTCCTGTTAAAGGTGAGATCATTATGCTGAGTGAAATAGGAAAGACAAATACCATATGATCATCATTACTTTTTGAAATAGGTTTTCTATCCCTTGCTTTTCCTCTTCTCCTTCTGGTATCTCTACTATTTGGGTAGTATTATGTTTCATATTCTCTTGAATTTCTGTTAGCCCCTCCTCATTCTTTCTGAGTCTCTTTTCCTTTTCTTGCTTTTTCTGGGTGCTTTTTTCTACCTTATCCTCCAGCTTGCTGATCCAATCCTCTGCTTCACTGAGCCTGCTTTAGATTCCTTCTACTGTGTTCTTCAGTTCAGAAATTGTATTCTTCATTTTCTCTTGGTCCTTGTTGATAGTTTCTATTTCCTTTTCATGTTGCTATAGTTTGAAGTGAGTTCAATGTAGTTTCTCGATAGTTTTTGATAATTCTCTGTGAGCTCATTCGACTTCCCTATAACTATTCCTTTGAGGTCAATATCAGATAGTTGAGTTGCCTCTATTTTCTTTCACATTCTCTCTGAGGCTTCTTCCTTTCCTTTCATTTGTGATCGTTTCTTTGTCTTCCCATTGTTTGTGAGACTCTTCTTGTAGCCTCTCCTTCTTAAATTGATCTGTTCTGGGTCCTTGGGTTTATAGTGTGAACTTCTGTGGTAGAAGACCTGTGAGATTCAGTGGTGCAGTCTCCTTGATCTCCTGAGCTTGCTGGTCTTGGGCTGCTGTTTATGTTGCCTCTCTGTATATCTTTGCATTTTAATTGTTGTGGTTTTTTTTGGTGGGTTTTTCCCTCCAACTGGTGAACTGAGTTAGGTCACTCCATCCACCACATCTTTTATTCTGTTGTGTAGGTGTGGACAGGTTGCGTTGAAACTAGTTCTTCTGTGTGTATGAAATGTTGAGGCCTCTCATTATTGTTCAATTGTTTGTTCTGGGGAATTTCTCTACCATTTAGTTATATTTCCAGATAGGTCCTGGGTTGAGGTTAGTGTGTCTTCTACTCCCTCCTTCACTTTTTTCTGTTGTTATCTGTTGGTGGTTTCTTTGTTGGTATGTTTCCTCTTTCAGCAGGTATCCTGGTGTACACAGCTCCAACCTACTCTTTTTGTGATCAGTTGAAGGGGGAAGGCAAAATGGTTTAAGACAGTGGGAGTGTATTCTGTGGTATTTAAAATACCAACCCATAAAGAAGGTATCGGAGATTCTTTAGATATGTATAGTGTTTACATATCCAAATGTAAACAGTATATGGGGGTTATGTAAAGTGTTTGGGTATGTAAAGTGTTTACATATCCAAATTTCATTACCATGAAATTTCCCCCAATTAGCCACTTTTAGAAAGGATGGAAAAAAGATAAGACTCTTGCTAGCGGGTGAGGGGAGGATTGTGAGTTGGATCTAGAATTCAGTGAGCTTGTGAGAGGTCAGATTATGAGGTAAAGTGAGAGTAAAGATAGAAAATAGGTGTAGTGTGTAAGAGAATAGTTTACCACAACAGTAATCAAGTTATGGAAATAGTGAAGTGAGCTAAGATCCGAGAGGGGTGTTGTGTAGTATTTACAATTGTATTGAACAGCATTTATTTACAATAGTAATGGAACAACAATTATATGACAGAATACATGTGATCTGAATAACAAGAATAGGAAGTACAAGACCTAGAGAAATGTGCTATTGAAACACAAATGAAGTGAAAGACAGAAAATTAAAAATACTCTATGAAAGAGCAAACAAGGCAGACCAGTCAAGTCATGCAATTGAAAAAACCAAGTGAAGGAAATTTAACAGGAAGAAGAGATATTGAAAATAATACTAATAAAATGAATGATGTACATATAAGGAAAAATAATAATACAAATATACAATAACTCGCCACTTCTCTGGAGTAGCAAGTTAAATTTGTCTCACTGTCTCAGGTGTTGGGATGTCCCCTCTTTCAGTCCAACTCTGGTTCTTTCGCAGCTCCAGGTTTTATTATCTCACTTGTGAGAATAATAAACAAAAAAAAAGAAAAGGAGGAAAAATGAAGAAAAAAGGAAGAAAGGAAAAATTTTGAAAAAGACAGAAGGAAAGAAGGAAGGAGGAATTTTTTTAAAAGGCCTCCTGCTGGCTTTAAACAAGCCAAGCCAGTTCTGCTGGTCTTCCTGGCTGCATCAGGCTGAAGGAGATTGGATGCCCTTTTCTCCCCTCCTGTGGTTTTGCAGCGATGGGGGCCAGGCCTGAGCCACACTCTTTGCAGCTGTCCAGCCTTCAGCCCAGTTCCTCAGTTCACTGCCAGGGCCCTCAGGGCCCTTCTGAGCCTAACCTATGACTTCAGTCCACCAGTTGTGCTATCCTTGAGGTGCATCAATTAGGGGCACCTCACACACCACCTTCTCACTCTTTGCTGTCTAAATGCTAGGGACTCTCAGAGACTCTTCAGAGTAGTCAGCCCCCACACTAGATTAAGTCTCTCTGGGGATAACTGACACCTTGAGCCCTGCTGCTCCCCTCTGCAGAGGTGTCTCCACCTTCCTCTTAGAGCCAGTTGGCCCTGCAGGGTGAAGGCTCTGGTCATGGCTGCCATTGAGGATGCTGGTACAGGGTGATGGGGTGGGGCACAAGGTGCCTCTGGGCAGCAGGGTCAGGCACCGTCATTCTTGGGCTTTGGGCAAGAGGTCCCGGCCTCTGCTGCTCCACTCAGAACATAGTGGCCAGGAGGTGGTGTTGGACGCATACCAGCCTCCAATACTAATATGGCAGCTGCAATGGCATGGGGGGTGGCTGGGCTGGTGGTGCACCACTGGGTTCACAGGCACAGTTGGGTGCCTTTCACCACTGCAGCTGGGGCTAGGAATATAGTTGGCAACCTGACAGCGGAAGTGGGCCCACAGGTGAGGCTGCAGAGGCCACAAGGGTACAGCCAGGGGAGCTGCAGGCGGCTACTGTGGGATAATTCCCCAAGCAGCCACTGAATGCTTTATTTTCCTTTTTCTTTTGGAAAATTTTTTATTATTCAACTCTGCCACTCTAAACAAACACCTGGCCTCCCACACAGCCCAACTCTCCAAGCAGACTTGGGACTATCTGCGTCAGGGGCCATCACAGACCAACTCTTCCCTGCCCCCATCCACAGTTTCAGTGGGTGCACACTGCCCCTTTGTGTTTCCCACTTCATCCCTATTCCCCCTAGCCACTCCAAGCATCCAGGTCTATCCTGGTGCTGCTCAAACCTTGTTTAGTCGGGGAGGAGGATGTTGACTGACTCCCTCCAAAGAATCCTGCATCAGACCCAGAGGGTGCCAGGTCTGGGGCTGCAGCTGCCTTGTTCCCTGAGCTGGTACCAGAAACTTTAATACCCAAAACACTCTCCTTAGCATCTGTTTTTTCAATGTCCTCTATAGATTAGCCTCCAATCTTCCTCTCTGCTGGGATACCACTGGCTGTTCAGTCTGCTCCTCAGAAGATCAGCCAGGTTTTCCATCTGTGCATAGGGGAAGTGGACTCTGCTCCCACCTAACTCACCACCATCTTCCCTCCTTGTTCATTTCACTTGTAAAAGACTGAGGGTCCCAAGGGAAAGAAGACAGAAGCAGTGAATGCCTCAGTGCCACCTGTCCCCATTGTTTACAGAAACTCCCACCTAGAACCCCAAGGACAGAGGCCTCTCAATACCCTAGTCTTTTCTCTATCTTCTCCCTCAGGAACTCCCATTCCTACCTCCAGGCCATTGGGGATGTGAAAAACCTCTTTTTTTCTCGAGTGAGAAGTTTCTTCTACCAGAATGACATCATCTATGGGCTGACTCCCGAGGGCCGCTGGAACCACAGGGCCTGCCAGCTCGCCCATCAGCACACAGGTTAGATTCACCTCCTGGGCTGCTCCTGTCCCTCATCAGGCACATCCCAAAGGGACTGGCCCTGACCCTCAGAAAGTGCCCACTGGTGCTCTTCGGGAAATGCAAATACCCACACTGGGTACTCTCCTGGTGCAAGGCTTGGGAACCAATGTGTTAGAGTGCCAGAGCTTGTGCTGGGATTGACCCGTGTCACCATACTGGTGATGTCACCCCCTGCAAGTGGCATTCAAGCAGACCCTACTCCATGGGTGTGCTGTTGAGCAGAGGCCTGACTTCCAATCAGGTGGTGATGGACCTCTCCCACCTGATGTGTACCCCTACTCCCACACTCATTCTGACTCATGGCACCCAGACTAGAACAGGGCAAGGGCATGTGGGTCTTCTGTTAGCTGCTCCTTCTGGACATCTAAAGCCCTGAGCCCTGCCCGGGGACCACTGTTCTGTGACAGAGCGAGTGATCAAGTTGAGGAAGGCACATCTGCAAGAGGAGGGAGAAATGGAGGAGGTCAGAAGAAAGAGGCACTTGGACTTCCTGGACATTCTCCTCTTTGCCAGAGTGAGTGTTTGTAGGAGGGGCCAGAGGCTTTACCCAAAGGGCATAAGAAGGAAAGAACCCCGCACTCTCGCTGTGCCTTCCCAGATGGAGAATGGGAGCTGCTTGCCTGACAAGGACATCCGTGCCGAGGTGGACACATTCATGTTTGAGGGCCATGACACCACAGCCAGTGGCATCTCCTGGATCCTCTACTCTCTGGCTGCACACCCCGAGCATCAGCACAGGTGCCGCAAGGAGATCCAGAGCCTCCTGGGAGGTGGCACCTCCATCACCTGGTGAGCACTCGAGAGATGAGAGAGCCCTATTCACTCAGCTAGACAAGATGCCCAGGTCTGCTTGGGTCCTGCCTGCCCTCAGATAGGGCTGCCTTCATTTCAGGGATCAGCTGGATCAGATGCCCTATACCACCATGTGCATCAAGGAGGCACTGCGACTCTATCCACCTGTACCATTTATTGGAAGAGAGCTCAGCAAGCCAATCACCTTCCCTGATGGACGCTCCTTACCCAGAGGTCTGAACTTCACCACATTCACTAACCTGGGTACTCTGCACCAACACATAGCAAATGAGGTCCAGGTGTCCTAGGGTAATCCTGACCTCTCTGGTCTTGTTTCTTCATCATTAAGTGTAAACTTACTTTGTAGTTTATATTAGGAATATAAAATGGCTGTCATACAGTTTGACGACAACACTAGCCCCCATTTCTAATCAGAGAATGAATCACATCAGTACATTTACCTCACTAGGGTCCATCTCAGTTCTGACATCTCACATAAGTGAAATCCAAAGCTGCTATCATTCTCAAGTCTAGCATCTTATTGCATTTAGAATCCATGGTTTGATGATGCCACAGTAATTCCATTTGATGGTTTGATGGCACTAATGTTCTATGATTCCAACACTCCATTCTCCAGTCCCAGCTCCAAGTTGTAACACTCTGAGGCAATTTTGTCTGCGTTCTCATGTCTAGTTGAATATCCTCTGTATTTGATGTAATGTGTGCGTAATTCCTCTGTGACAAATGCAAATCATTCTAGACATACCAGATAACATAAGAATGACTCAGTCCATGGCATTTTCTTCACAAGGAGATGTTAGACTCTAAATGCAGCTTCCAGAATTTCACTCTAAAACTCTACTTTTCTTCAACGTGAGATTTGCCTCAACAACCATACATGGGGAAGGGGTACATGTGGTTTCTTTCCTCTGGGGTCTGGGCAGAGAAGGAAGACCAGCAAATCCACTGCCATGAGTCAGGTGGTCCAGTCTCCCAGGAGCCCTCAGATTGGTGGCAGAGAGCAGATGTTGATCAGCTCTGAGATCCCGTCATGGTGGAGGCCACCTCAAGGTTCACCTTTGGTCTGAATCCCAACCCTGACACATTCTAGCTATGATCATAGGCAATGTGTTCAGCCTCTTTGAGCTCAGGTGCCTTATCTTAACAATGGGAACAAGAGTGCCCTCCTTGGAGGGATGTAATTAAGACTGAATGATTTAATGGATAATCCCCAAAGGCCCATTAAGGGCACCTAAGAAATATGAGATTTATCTTGAGTTGCTCCAGAAAGTAAGCCTTCAGTTCTGTCTGGCTTCTCAGTCGTGGGACATGGTTATGTACTCTTAGTGTGTGCATGTGAGCTTTGCCAAGTCCACCCTCTGGTATTGCAATAGGATCATTCCACTCTGACACTCACTACAACTCCCAAGTTTTGGGGAACTTACTGGTCCCCTACTGCCATGTGTATGATCAGTCTTCTTTGTTTTCCCTGCCATATAGGAATCAAAGTCTCCCTTTCTTTGTATGGTCTTCACCACAATCCGAAGGTGTGGCCCAATCCAGAGGTAGGATGGCTGTGGGAGGAAGGTTGGCTTGATTTCTCTAGGTCAATACCTCCTCCTCTATCCAGCCCCAGGAGTCCTGTGCCCTCTTGCATTGGAAGGAGGGGCTTGACCCTCCCTGTCCTGACCCTGGTCCTCTCTCTGCAGGTGTTTGACCCTTCCCGTTTTGCACCAGGTTCTGATCTACACAGCCATGCTTTCCTGCCCTTCTCAGGAGGATCCAGGTGAGCCATCATGTACTTGGGGATGGCCCACCACCACATGGGGACCCTGAAGTTTGTGAACTACTTTCATATGTGGTGCCCAAACATATGCCTTTGTATGCTGGTGTGTTGTGTAGGTGGCACTTGTCTATATGCACAGAACAACCATGACATAGCAGGCCACCACACACACACTTTACCCACTGACTTTCTCCCAAGCACTTGATTGTCCTTAAGTTTATGATTTTTGCCAATGTTGGACTATGTAGACAGTGGAACTATGGTATATAAATCCCATATCATACATAGGATCTTTCCAACTGAACCAAGCTGTTATGCTTATGTGAATATTACTATGCAGTAAAGCCTTTGCTGGGATAGGCAGCAAAAACAGAGAGGCTTGTATTGGTCTCAAACTCTTCAAACAGTTCCTTTTCCTATTTGCCACCTACAAATCAGTGTCAGCTGTTCTTCTAAACTTCAGTTATTCTGGTGTCTTTCTCACTTCAGGAATACAACTTCTCAAAGGTAAAATTTTTCATAAAAATTAAGCTTCCACTCGCTTTTATTCATTACCAGTACACTTAAAAACAGAATTTCCCCTCTCTTCTCACAGGGCAGGGCAGCCAATGCTTCACTTATATCACTGATATGCCACTCACTCTATCTGCAATATTTGTTTGTGTTCCAATTCCCAGCCACCTCCCTCTCCTGATGGTTCAAGCCCTGTTCATAAATGGTGCAGAGCGAGGTGTTTTACACCAATGTATGCCTTCTTGCTTTTGCAATCTACCCCCACAAAAGATTAACTGCACATTAACATTCACATAAGCAGACTGCTTTTCCAGTTGACAGAATTGTTTATGCAAATGGGATTATTTCCGGAACCCCCACATCTACACTGCCCAGTGTTTAGCAAAAAGCATAAAACTAAGAACAACCATTCCTTTTGAGAGAAAATTCACGATTTTGTATATGGCACACAACATTTGAAAGGTTCCTGGTGTGTAAAATACAAAGCATCCTTGAAATAGCTGGTGAGCTGGACAATTACACTCCAGAAGGGCTGCTGTTGGAAAATCTGCAGATTAAAGAAAACTTCCTGTAATATAGTAATGTCTTTAACCTTTGTACTTGACTCAGCAACAAGCTTTTTTGTGAATTCTTCAAATGTTGAATCAACTTGTACAGAATAGGCTCTGAACAAATCCTTGCAGGGGTTGATTGGCTCTAATCTTTGCTTTCTCCCAGGATTGAGTCTTTTCCTCCTAGACCATGGCTGCAAGTCATATGCCTGCCACTAGAGGACAGGCGAGCCCTAGGAAGCTCAATTCCTAGTTCAGAACTTGTATTTTTCTTTTTTCCAATTTTAATTTACTTTTACACTCAATTAACTTCATTCAAGTATACATGTTTTCTTAAGTCTGTCTTTGTGTACAAAGTCTTGTGCCACGAGATGGGAAAGACACTGTTCCTGCCCCCAGGTGTTCCCAGTCAAGAAACAAGCCATCTCCTGAAGACACTTCATTCATTCCTTCTTTCCTTCACTCACTCATTCACTCAGTGAGCAGAGTGTTGAATGTTCTGTTTTCTGCACTATCCTAGGCATTGGACTGTGATGTGTCCTTCAAATAAAACACTAATGGTGCCTTGGGGGTCTAGAAAAGAAGAGGTACAGGCAGTGAAGGTGTGAAGGTTATGTCCTTGGACTTAACCTTGAGCATGTGGCAGGCAGAGGTGGAGGGAGGGCCTGTCTGTGATTCAACCACATGAGCTCACTTAGGAAGTGAAGCTGGACAAGTGAGAGGTGAGTGAAGCAACAGTCCATGAAGGATTAATGCCAGATGAAGCACTTGGACATGTTGTCCCTATGATGGGGGCATGGAAGGGACTTCAGTGCACAGGGGGAGGGGATTCAGGAGACAGAGAAGTGCAGGTGTGGGGACTGATGAATGTCAAGGAGGGACATTTCTGCAGTAGGACAGAAAGGCTACAGAAGCTGGTGGACTGAAGAGACAACGGAGTGGCAGGAGTCTGGACCATGGATTGGGAAGCAGGTGGTGCAACTGGTTGAATGTCGCTAATCCCTGGTTGCCCCTGCAGCTTCCTCATTGCCAGTTGGATTTCCTTACACAAACCTGTCTCTCATTCTCTGTGAGGATGAAGATCCTGACATCCCCCTATATAGTGAGGACCTAAGAGTATGACCCACCCCACTCCATATCATACCCTGACCTGGCTTCCACATTGTGAAATTAGAAACTGGTTGTGGTAGGAGAAAACAAATTAATAACTTTTCAATCATTCATTTGACTTCACTTGGTGGATTAGGGCAATGACCTTCCCCTCTTAGGATTTCATGCCTCCTACAGAAGTAGGAGTTAGAAGCTATGCCTAATACAGAGATAGGGTTTGTCAAAGTTCAAGTACAGAATGTGAAACAAGACCAGAGGGATAGAAGTGGGCGTGTCCTAAAAACAAAGGGGATTGGATTAAGTCACATCAAATGCCCTGTTTCTTTTTTTTTAATTTTTTAAAATTTTATTTAGTTATTTTTCAAGTACAGTTTTTTTGTCTATTTTTCCCATCCCAGCCTCCCCCGCCCCTTGCTCCCCACCTCCCTCCCATTTCCACCCCCCCTTAGTTCTCGTCCCTGTGTCCTTCCTATTTGTTCCTCCAAATCCCTCCCCCTTTTTCCCCTTAACTTCCCTTCCTTCTCCCCTCTGGTCACTATCCCCTTGTTCTCTATTTCAGTGTCTTTTCTTTTTTTCTGCTTGCTTGTTTGTTTTGTTGTTTAGCTTCCTGTTAAAGGTGAGATCATATGGTATTTGTCTTTCAGCACCTGGCCTATTTCACTCAGCATGCTTTCCAGTTCCATCCATGTTGTTGCAAAAGGTAGTAGCTCCTTCTTTCTCTCTGCAGCATAGAATTCCATTGTGTATATGTACCACAATTTTTGGATCCATTCATTTACTGATGGGCACCTAGGTTGCTTCCAACTCTTGGCTATTGTAAATTGTGCTGCTATGAACATTGTGGTGCATAGGTTCTTTGATATTGATGTTTTAGGATTCTTAGGATATAATCCCAGCACTGGAATCGCTGGGTCAATAGGCAGGTCGATTTTTATTTTTCTGAGAAAATTCCATACTGTTTTCCATAATGGTTGTACCAGTCTGCAATCACACCAACAGTGAACTAAGGACCCCTTTTCCCCACAACCTCTCCAACATTTGTTGTTTGTTGCTTTGTTTATGATAGCCATCCTGACTGGTGTAAAGTGGTATCTCATTGTGGTTTTAATTTGCATCTCTCTGATAGCTAACGATATTGAGCATCTCTTCATGTGTCTCTGAATGTTCTGTATGTCCTCCTTGGAGAAGTGTCTGTTCAAGTCCTTTTCCCATTTTTTAATTGGGTTGGGTGTCTTCCTAGAGTGGAGTCGTGTAAGTTCTTTGTATATTTTGGAGATTAAACCTTTGTCTGAGGTATCATTGGCAAATATGCTTTCCCATACAGTTGGTTGTCTTGCTAATTTAACAATGTTTTCTTTAGCCACGCAGAAGCTTTTTATTTTGATGAGATCCCATTTGTTTATTCTTTCCTTTACATTCCTTGCTCTAGGGGACATATCAGTAAAGAAGTTGCTGCGTGAAATAGCTGAGATTTTCTTGCCAATGTTTTCCTCTAGGACTTTAGTGGTGTCACAACTTACATTTAAGTCTTTTATCCACCTTGAATTTATTTTGGTGTATGGTGTAAGTCTGTGCTCAAGTTTCATTTTTTTGCACGTAGCTGTCCAGTTCTCCCAACAGCATTTGTTGAAGAGGCTATCTTTACTCCATTTTATGTTACTGCCCCCTTTGTCGAATATTAATTGACTGTAGAGAGTTGGGTTGATTTCTGGGCTCTCTGTTCTGTTCCATTGGTCTATGTGCCTGTTTTTATGCGAGTACCAGGCTGTTTTGATTACAGTGGCCTTGTAATACAGTTTGATATCAGGTATTGTGATCCCCCCTACTTTGTTCTTCTTTCTCAAAAGAGCAGCTGCTATTTGGGCTCGTTTATGGTTCCATATAAATTTTCGAAGTGTTTGTTCTATGTCTGTGAAATATGCCATTGGTACTTTATTAGGTATTGCATTGAATCTGTATATTGCTTTGGGTAGTATGGACATTTTGATGATGTTAATTCTTCCAATCCATGAACAAGGTATATGTTTCCATTTGTTTGTGTCTTCCTTGATTTCGTTCTTCAGGGCTGTGTAGTTTTCTGCATACAGGTTTTTTACCTCCTTAGTTAGGTTTCTTCCCAGATATTTTATTTTTCTTTTTGCTATATCAAATGGGATTTTTTTCTTTATTTCTGCTTCTGCTGATTCACTGTTGGTATACAAAAATGCCTTTGATTTCTGGATATTGACTTTGTAACCAGCTGTTTTGCCAAACTCATTAATTAGTTTGAGCAGTTTTTGGGTAGAGTCTATAGGATTTTCCATGTACACTATCATGTCATCTGCAAACAGTGACAGTTTTGCTTCCTCCTTTCCTATTTGGATGCCTTTTATTTCCTTTTCTTGCCTGATGGCTGTGGCTATAACTTCCAATACTATATTGAATAGAAGTGGTGAAAGTGGACAACCTTGTCTTGTTCCTGATCTTAGTGGAAAAGCTTTTAGTTTTTTCGCATTGAGTATGATATTGGCTGTACGTCTCTCATATATGGCCTTTATTATTTTGAGAAATGCTCCCTGTATTCCCACTTTGCTGAGTGTTTTTATCATAAATGGGTGTTGTACCTTATCAAAAGCTTTTTCCGCATCTATTGATATGATCATGTGGTTTTTGTCTTTGCTTTTGTTTATGTGATGTATTACATTTACTGATTTGCGAATATTGAACCATCCTTGCATCCCTGGGATGAATCCCACTTGATCATGGTGTATGATTTTTTTGATATATTGTTGGATGCGATTTGTCGATATTTTGTTGAAGATTTTAGCATCTATGTTCATCAGCGATATTGGCCTGAAGTTTTCTTTCTTTGTTGTGTCTCTATCTTGTTTTGGAATTAAGATGATGCTGGCTTCATAAAAAGAATTTGGGAGTTTTCCATACTTCTGGATTTTTTGGAATAGTCTGTGGAGAATAGGGGTTAGCTCTTCCTTAAATGCTTTGTAGAATTCTCCTGTGAAACCATCTGGTCCGGGGCTTTTGTGTGATGGGAGTTTTTTGATTACTGCTTCAATTTCTTTTGCTGTTATTGGTGTATTTAGATTTTCTGCTTCTTTTTCACTGAGTTTTGGAAGATTGTATTTTTCTAGAAATGTGTCCATTTCCCCTAGGTTTTCAAATTTCTTGGCATACAGTTCTTCTTAGTAATTTCTTACAATCCCTTCTATTTCAGTGGTATCAGTTGTAATCTCTCCTTTTTCATTTCTGATTGTGTTTATTTGTGTCCTCTCTCTTCTTTTCTTGATGAGCCTACTTTAAGGCTTGTCTATTTTGTTTATCTTCTCAAAGAACCAACTCCTGGATTCATTGATCCTTAAAATTGTGCTTTTGGTTTCTACGTCATTTAACTCTGCTCTAATCTTGGTTATTTCCTTCCTTCTGCTTGCTCTGGGCTGTCTTTGTTGTTGTTCCTTGAGTTCTTGTAGGCGTAGGGTTAGGTTGTTTGTTTGAAATATTTCTATTTTCTTTAGGTAGGCCTGTATTGCTATAAACTTCCCTCTCAGGACTGCCTTCGCTGTGTCCAATAAGTTTTGGGTTGTTGTGAGATCATTTTCATTTGTTTCCAGAAAGTGCTTGATTTCTTCCCTAATTTCATTCTTGACCCATTTGTTGTTTAATAGCATACCATTCAGTCTCCATGATTTTGGGTGCTTTGGGTTTTTTTCTTTGGGGTCTGTTTCTAATTTCAGTCCCTTGTGGTCAGAGAAGATGCTTGGTATGATTTCAATTTTCTTGAATTTTTTGAGGCTCGTTTTGTGTCCTATCATGTGGTCTATCTTTGAAAATGTTCCATGTGCATGTGAAAAGAATGTGTATTTAGCTTCTTTGGGATGAAGGGCTCTATATATATATCAGTTAAGTCCATTTCATCTAGGGTGTTGTTTAATGCCACAATATCTTTGTTGATAATTTGTTTGGAAGATCTGTCCATTTTTGATAGTGGGGTGTTCAAATCCCCTACTATAATTGTGTTGCTGTCAATATGTTTCTTGAAGTCCTCTAAGATTTTCTTGATATATTTGGGTGCCCCTATGTTTGGTGCATATATGTTTACAATGTTAATGTCTTCTTGGTGGATTCTTCCCTTGAGTATAATGAAGTGACCTTCTGGGTCTCTCTTTATGGACTTTTTTTTGAAGTCTATTTTGTCTGATATGAGAATTGCTGCCCCAGCTTTTTTTTTTCTTGTCCATTTGCTTGGAAAACTTGTTTCCAGCCTTTCACTTTTAGTCTGTGATGGTCTTTTGTCCTGAGGTGGGTCTCTTGTTGGCAGCTATGTGTGGGTCATGCTTTCTTATCCATTGAGCTATTCTGTGTCTTTTGATTGGAGCATTTAATCCATTTACGTTTAAAGTTATTATTGATAGGTACTTATTCATTGCCATTTTTGTACCTGTGTTCCTCTCTGTCTCCCTCTTATCTTTCCTTCCCTTAAAGCAGTTCTTTTAGTATTTCTTGTAGAGCTGGTTTGGTGGAGGGATATTCTTTTAGACTTCTTTTGTCTTCGAAGCTCTTTATTTGGCCATCTATCTTGATTGAGAGCCTTGCTGGGTAAAGTAGTCTTGGTTGTAGGCCTCTGGTTCTCATTACTTGGAATATTTCTTGCCATTCTCTTCTTGCTTGAAGTGTTTCCATTGAGAAGTCAGTAGCTAACTTTATTGGGGCTCCCTTGTATGTTACTTTCTGTTTCTCCCTTGCTGCCTTTAAGATTCTCTCTTTGTCTTGGAATTTTGCCATTTTGATGATGATGTGTCTTGAAGTGGGCCTCCTTGGGTTCCTCTTGGTTGGGACTCTGTGATTCCTGCATTTGTGAGACTTTTTCTCTTATCAAATTAGGGAAATTTTCTCTCATTACTCGTTCAAATACGTTTTCTATCCCTTGTTCTTGTTCTTCTTCTTCTCCTTCTGGTATTCCTATTATTCGGATATTATTACGTTTCATATTGTCTTGCATTTCTCTTAATCCCTCTTCATTCTTTCTGAGCCTCTTTTCATTTTCTTTTTCTCCATGATCTGCCGGATGTTTCACCCATGGTCCGGGCTTATCCACTTTCACAATCTTACTCCGTCGCCATCTTCCCAGCATCCTCCTGTTTATTTATCGTAAATCAGGAAAAGAGCACACGTCTGTGTTGCAGGCCGCTGGCACCTTCAGCTGTGTCACCGTGCAGGCAGGATCTCGAGTTAATCCAAAGTACTGTGGTACCCTCTCATGGTCCACTGGAAAGAGTTCTTTGTACCCAGTTCCAGTCAAAGTCTCTCTTGCTTTCCAGGCCACGTGGCCAAAGGGGGCATCCCAAAGCCGTGTGGGCCTCTTCTACCAAAGCTGTAGGGGTTCACACTCCACCAAAAGCATGTGGCTTTCTTCTTCACCTGGCTGCAGGGATCTCCATTCTGCCCCAAACAGCGTGGCCCTCTCCTCACCTGGCCAGTTATCCCCTCATGTCCTAGAGCCCATCTTTTCCAAGCTCTTACACCAGTGCTTCTCGCCTCTTTTCATTTTCTTGCTCTTTCTGTGAGATGCTTTCTACCTTGTCCTCCAACTTACTAATCCTATCCCCCGCTTCATCTATCCTACTTTGGAAACTTTCTACTGTGTACTTCAATTCGGAAATTGTGTTCTTCATTTCCTCTTGTCTCTTGCTTATAGTTTCCATTTCCTTTTTGATGTTGCTGTAGTTTGCAGAGAGATCATTATAGTTCCCCTGTAGTTTCTGGTAGTTCACTGTGAGCTCTTTGAACTTCGTAATAACCAGTGCTTTGAATTCACTGTCTGATAGTTGATCAGCCTCTATTTCATCTAACATTCTTTCTGAAGTTTCTGCTTTTTCTTTCATTTGGGGATTGTTTCTTTGTCTTCCCATTGTTTGAGACTCTTCTTGTTAGTCTCTGCTTCTAAAATTGATCTGTTCTGAAACCCTGGTTTTATGGTGTAAACTTCTGTGGTATGATCCTTGTGAAGTTCAGTGGTGCAGATTCCTTGAAGTTTCTTGATGTTCTTCGTCTCCACCTACACTCACGGTGGTCCTCGCGCTGGTCCCTGCGTTCGTCGCCTACCACTGCTGAATGTCCCGGCTCTAGTAGCCGCCTCCTCAAGCACCCAGGCCCGTTACTACGGCAGTGGCACAGAGTCTGGGAATGTCCAGGCCCCTGTATCTGGCTCTCTCTGTGGCCCAGGGCCGTCACAGGGGTTTGGAGTGTCCTGATTTCCGTACCTGACTCCCCGGCATCTAGTCCTGTCTCTATGGCAGTGGCACAGAGGCTTAGAATGTCCCAACTCCCGTACCTGATTCCCCAGTGTCCAGTCCCATCGCTATGGCAGCAGCACAGGGGCTGAGAACGTCCCAGTTCTCGTAGAGGGCTCCTCTGCCGCCCAGAGCTGTCTCGGGGGTTTTCAGTGTCCCAGCTTCCGTACCTGACTCCCCTGGGTCCAGTCCCAATGCTATGGCAGCAGCACAGGATCTGAGAACTTCCCAGCTCCCATAGTTGTGCTCCTCTGCTGCGTCACAGGGGTTTGGAGAGTCCCGGCTTCCGGACCTGACTCCCTGCCGTCCAGTCCTGTTGCTATGGCAGCGGAACAGGATCTCTGAATGTCCCGGCTCCCGTAGCTGGCTCCTCAGGGCCCAGGCATGCCTCTATGGCGGCGTCACAGGGGCCTTTGGTGTCCCAGCTCCTGCAACTGACCGTTCCGTTGCGCAGGCCGGTAGCTATGGCATCGGCACAAGGGCCGAGAATGTCCCCGCTCCGGTCCTGATTCCTCTGTCTCCCAGGACCGTCACAGGAGCTTGGAGTATCCGGCTTCCGTACCTGACTCCCCGGCTCCCAGGCCTGTTGCTCTGGCAGCAGCACAGGGGCCGCGTGAGACCCTGCTCTAGTAGCTGACTCTGCCGCCATCTGGTGTTTCAGCGTCAGTCACAATCTCTGGTCTTTTAATTTCATAAATGCTGGGTAACCGATGGTTTATTGTGCTGTTTCTCTATAGATCTGCCAGGATTTTCACCCATGAGTACAGGAGCCAGTATCAGCTCCATCTTACTCCGTCGCCATCTTCCCAGCATTCTCCAAATGCCCTGTTTCTTAGCAAGGGCTCAGTAGCCAATGGCTGCCCAGCTGAAAACAGGGTTTAAGGCCAGTTCTCATGTCATTTCTCCTCCCTGGCACAGGAACTGCATTGGGAAGAATTTTGCCATGAAGGAGCTGAAGGTGGCCGTGGCATTGACCCTGCTTCGCTTTGAGCTGGCGGTGGATCCATTTAGAGTCCCCATCCCAGTATCAAAAGCTGTTCTGAGTTCCAAGAATGGAATCCACCTGCAGCTCAGAAAGCTCCTCTAATCCATTTTGGGACAAGAGCAAGCTCTGAGGATCTCCTTCCTGCCATCCTGTCTCCCTGTTACATGATGCCATCCTCTGGGTTTCTAACCAAGTCCTGCTTCTCACATGCCATTCTCCCTAACTTCCCCCTCTGGTCCTTTGTCTGCCTCTCCAATCTGCCGTTTTCACTTTCTTCCTGCTTGTCTTCCCTGTATAGTTTCCTTTACATGCTATAATAAATTACTGTAGCCTCAGTGACAGAACACACCACAAATCTTCTCTTAGCATCTGGATTCATAAGTCTAAAGTGGGTTTCACAGGATCACCACGAGGTGTTGGTAGGGCCACACCGCCTCCAGGGCTCTAGGAGAAAACCCCTGTCTTGGTCTTTCCAGCATCTAGAGCTGCCTTATTACATCCCTTGTCTCCTGGAGCCTTCTTCTGTACACAAATCCAGCAGCACCTCTGATGTCCTTTCTGCTTCTGTCTTCACATTGCCTTCTCTCTTATGAGGACATTTGTGACTACATGGACTCGCTCAGATAAGAGGACATAGTTACATCTTGTAGGAATAAGACCCTGGGCATCTTTTGAGCTGTCTTTCTGCCTAATGGGTCCCTAGTCACTGCCATTGGTCCATGTTCCCAGTTCCCTTCTGTGTGTTTCCTGTACACCCACTTATCAATCTCATACAATCTCCTTCTATCACCCTTCCCAGAATATAGCTCACACTGTCATGCCTTGGGAGGAGCTGGATGGAGAACAGCAAGAAAGATGGGGTTGGGGAGAGAGACAAGACTAAGCAGGGAGATAATATCTGCTCTGAGGTGCCAAAACCCATCACCTCAGAGCCCAGAGAGGGGATAGCTGTCCAGGAGGGATTGGGGGAGCCCAGGTAGGCAGACATGTGTTTCCTATCAGGGAGGGTACCAGCAAACAGCTGGCAATGCCTTCCCCACAGGACAGGCCCTGCATCTCTGGCCAGCTGCCTTCAAGGCAGAGGGGCTTCTTCACCCCTGCTACATTTGGTGACCAAGTGGGTCATGGTTCTCTGACTCTGGGCTCTGTTCCTTTTGTGTTCCTCCATCAGCCTGTCTCAGCCCAGCCCTGTTCTCTTGCTGGTTCCAAACACTGGTTCTCCTCCTGTCCAACCCTAGCCATTCCTAACCTAGGGCCCTGGATGCATACACAGACCTCTCCAGGCACCCTCTGCCTGTGGTGGAGGCACCGACTCTGCCTCCCCAAAGTGCTTCTCTCTGACTCTGTCCCTGCAGCCAGGATCTCCCACCCCAGTCCCCTGGCCTCCTGGGTCACTGGGGTAGTTCAGCCCTGCTTTAAGGAGGAGCATGGTGAGCACCAAGTGCTTGACAGAGATATAGAGCAGGAAAGGGAGCTGGGAGCATCCTGAGTAGGATGTTTGGCAGGTCCCCTGACATGAGGTGGTGCAGAAGGGCTCAGTGACCATGATCAGAGAGCACAGGACAATGGGAACTTGGAAATCTGGGTGGTCAGCCACATTGACGTACTCTAACCACAGCATTCCAAGGCAGTGAGAAGGACCAGGGAGATTCCCTACTGGCTCCCAGCAATAGGAAAAACCCAGGCTGAGTCCAGGTTCACATACACAGATGCCTGACGCTTACATAGACACACTCCTGGGCAGTTACTCCTGTGTGTGCCCTTGTACACTGTAACAAGGTAAATGGAGAAACCAGGACTCCGTCTTCAGAAACACAGGAGGGGTGGAGTTGCAGACCCTTGTGTTCCCCTGGCAACTAGGGAGTTACATGCAGCTGTTTGCAGGAGATTCATTTTATAAAGGGGCAGGCTGCAGAAATCAACCTCCTCCTTTGATATCCCCTCCTTCTTGGAAAAGTAGGAAGTCCTGGACCTGGACCTTAGGGGCTGTAGAAGGGGAAGGGATGAGGTGCTGCCTGTTAGGAGCAGGACCCTGAACTCTCACCTTCAACATTTAAAACTCATTACAACACAGCAGAGTTCTGTTAAGGGCAGACCCCTAGCCTCCCAAACCAACTCGCTCCCCCTCCTTATCACAGGCCTCAGGCCCACCACCAGTCCTGTGGTGGGAGAGGTGGGTGGGGAGGTGACCAGTGCCTGGCAAGGGTTGCCAGTGCAAGCCCTTCCAGTGGCGGCAGGAACAGCACAGGCACACCAGGAGTAGGAAACCTGGGTGCACACACTCCAAAAGATGCCTGAAGCGAAACAGGGACTACACACCAGCTAACCCACCTACATTTACCATGCTTTCTGATGGGGGAAGAGGTTCCTGGCACAACCAAAAACTGAGCTGGCAGAGGGTGACAGAAGATTTTTCTTAGTGTGTCTTAGAACAAAGTTAGTATTCCTTCTTTAGTCATACATAGCTTCTTCTTGAGTTATTTTTTGTTCTTGTGTGTATGTAGTATTGCTGTGACAAATATTTAAATAGCCTTTCTTGATTGTTAAATTAAAAATTTCTTTCTTTTCCACCAAACCCTGTGTTTAGAGTTTTGCCTCACAGGCAGCGAGCAGAAGGACCCACGCCACTGGTTGGGTAACAACACCACACTGTACCACACACACGCACCAGAGCTCAGGATCATCTGATCGGATCAGCACAGCAGGGTGTGCTAGAGAGCTGGAAGCATGAGGTGGACTCATCTCTGGTGCTCTCAGGTCTCCAGCCTCTGCCCTCCCCCTCCCACGTGGAGCCTCCCCTTTCCCTCAGGCTCCAGAGCTCTCAGCTCTGTTTCTCACCAACAGGAGTCCTCAAACAGAATCAGTACTACCTGTGGAGCCTTGGTCAAAAGGGCCCAGAATCAGGAGCTCACTCAGGCTCCTCCCTGATGAGCATCTTGGCAGGTTCCTTCCCTTAATATTGAAGAGGGATGATGGCCTCATCCAATCCTGACTCACAGGCCTCCTGACAGTCCAAAAAGGAGACTTGGGGGCATCACCCATGGACTAAACTTAGTTGTGACCACTGGACCCAGTTCCCAGCTAAGAGCTTTTGAACCATTTTCTTCAGTTGTGTAGAGAGAGGTCTGTCCGGGGCCAGGACATAGGAGAATGTTGCTGGCATGGTGAACACTCTGACTAAGGTTTCCGAATCCCAGACTTAGGTGCACAGTGAGTTGTAGGTCTTAACAGGACTTTGCAAGAGTGAGCAGGGGCTCAGGGCCCAGCTTCCAGGGCTGTGGAATCAATAGGAAGAAAACGTGTCTGCAGGTGGTCCCTCCTCAGAGCAACATAGAAAGGTCCCATGTCCCAGGCCTGAATTCTCCTCTCTTGTCCCTCCCCTGGTGTCAGATGCCCTCCCTCTATACCTGTCGCATTCCTGGATTGCAGCTCACTAATGGCTTTATACCTTTGTTGGGGACCCCTGTGTGTGGTTTCCAAGACTGCACATATACGAGAGCAAGCCCTAAAAAGGGCTAGTAAGTCTCCCTGGAAAACCAGGTAAAAATGCAGGTGGCACAAAGTGACTCTGACACCGAAGGTCCCTGTGGGCTCAGGCCTGATAAATATATTGTATCCTGTCAGGCTTATTCTGCTTCATATAGCCCTGTAGATGCAAACCAGATGTTTAAGTTCAAGGCATAAGCAGTAAACTCCTTATCTCATGAAATACTTCCTAAAGACCCTCTGGGGGTGGTGGGCTGGCAGGGGAATAGCAGAAAACTATATTTAAACAATTAAAATTTAAATCATTAAGTAATCAATCAATTAATTTTTTTACAAAGACCCTCTGTTCTCAGCATGACTAGCAGACCCTGACCTATGACAGATCTCTGTTCCTTCTGTCTTTATCTATAGATAATACCCATTTTTTTTGCTATAGCCTTTTGACATTGATTTATGAGCTATCCATGTATGCTGTATACCATTCCCAATAAAAGCCATTTGGGAGAAGGGCTAGGAGCATTCCCCACTAGAGGGAATTGCTGCCCATTTTCCCACCAGAAAAGCAAGATTGTGTCCAGCACAATGTGGTCACCGCCTGTGGTGGACTGGAGGATTCTGCAAGATGCAGTTCCTCCCACAGACCTTGAACCCTATTGGTACATGTACCCACCAAAGAAATGCTGTGGAGACAACCAGGGAAGGACCCCTGATTCATCATGTGGGCCTAAAATGAAGTTCACCCCCAAACTCCTTCTTTGCACCTCATACCACACCCTGCCTCAAGGCCTGATTCAGGCACCACCCTCCCCTAAAGCTCCTCTCTAGTGTCATTCTGCCACCTTCACCAGCCAAAGCGCATACACCCAGGGCACCGGGTGACTCTGACACAGAGATGGACAGTGGCAGTAGTGACACAGAGTCCCATCACAGGAGGGTAGAAATAATACCTGTGAGTTCATATTCCATATTGCTTTACCTTGACAGTGGTTACCTGGGTGTGTGCTTTAGAAATTCATTGTTCTGAACACTTTTGCTTTAGGCAAATATTCCTTATGCTACTTTCCAAACACATATGCAAAGTTAAACCCAGACACCCATCTCCGTGAACGGTCAAGCCCCCAAAGCCAACCCCCGTCATGTGGACTGGGGGAGTGCCTGGCCATAACCAGGAATCTCAGGGCACAGCTTCCATTGTGTTCACTGTATCACCCAGACTGGAGTGTAAGTTCCTGCTACATTTTAGAAAGATTGCCCATTACAAAAAGAAAAGGAAGAGACTAGAAGCAAGTGGGTTCTCACCACATGTTTGCTGAATGAATGAGTCAGCTCCAGGAAACATGCACAGTAAGCATTCATAGACACACCTGGTTTCTGGCACCATCCTCGAGGTGACTGTCTAGGGAATATCAACTCCCCTTCTATAATACAAGCCTCCCAAGGACAGGGAGCCACAGCTGCTCCCCAACCCAGCCTGGACAGGACAGTGCCCAGGGATAGGCCACAGCCTGGGCTGTCTGGGGCCCTACTCTTGGCAGAGCTACTTCCCAGAACCTGGGCACAGTGGCCTCAGGTGAAGGTAGATGCCATTCTGGGAGCGCAGGACCAACTGTAGCTTCTTGATGGGTGGCCGCAAAGGGTCCAGGGCAAACTCAAAGCGGAGCAGGCAGAGGGCCGTGACCACCTTCATCTCGTTCATAGCAAACTGCTGCCCGATGCAGTTCCTGCAGTGAGCAACACAAAGAAGCATCAGGAATGGGGTGTCTGAAGTGGTGAAATCCAGTGCTCTCAGTGGCCAACAGAAATCAATAACTATTTTTGCATGACTAATTGCCTGATGGATTGATCAACCTGAGCTTTAGAAACAGATCATAAGGTA